AAGAGACTTGCGAGATAATTAGGTGAAATTTGAAGAAACTTAGTGAATGCTTAGATTTGGGGGCTAGGAAGTGGAAGATGTCAAGGATGACTCTGCAAGTGCATAGATGATGGTGTCACAGACTTCATACTGGGAACCCCAGGCAAGGAGCAGGGTGGGGATGGTGGAGATTATGAGTTCACTCCTGAGAAGCTAAATTTAGGTGCCCAAGAAACACCAAGCAGAGAGATGGAGTGGGCAGTTTGATACACAAGTTTGGAACTCCTAGAAAAGATCCAAGCTAGAGGTACACATGTGGGATGCTCAGAGAGTAGATGGTGAATGTGGTCTTGGGTGGAGATGAGCTTATTTAGGGAAAAAGTACGGAATTAGAAGAGAAGGAGCCCAGGGATGAGGCAGGAGTCACTGCAGGGTTTAAAGGTGATATAGCGGAGGAGCCTGAGGCAAGATTAAAGAGAGAGGATGAGAACTGGGAAAGTCATTCAAGTCAAGAGATAAGAGCGTTTCAAGGAGGGAGCGATGGCAATCCTGATGAGAGATGTTCACCATGATGACCATTGGATTTAGCAGCAGAGAGGTCACGGTGACCTGAGCAAGATCTAATGAGGTTGAGTGGTCAGGGCTGAAGTCAGGCTGGAGCCAAGTGAGGAGAGTGGGTGAGGTGAGGAAACAGAGAGGAGGCCAGAGGCAACTCCTTCAAGAACTAGGGAGGGAAAGGGCAGATGAGGGGCAAGCACCTGGAAGGAGGCTGTGGTCACGCGAGAGGGGAATTTAAGCGCACAAGATGAGGCCTGTTCAAATGTGGATGAGATGGATCTGCCCTGCGGGTGGAGGTGGAGGACGAGGACACGGAGGCAAGAGAGCTGAGCGACAAAGGCCTCAGCTCCCGGGGCCAGACCACCTGGGTTCAATTCTGGTTCCTCCACCTGCTGCCTTTGTGGTTTTGTCACCCAGAGAAGTCCCTAAAACATTTTCCACGTCTAATGCTTTGTTTTTAGTTATGCTTGCTTAGAGGAACCAAGGCAGAACACTGCCAGATGGCCAAACCGCAGACCCGATCCAAACCAGAAAGGTCCAAAGCGGCCATGGGGTGCCGTGCACAAAAGGAAACGTGCAAAAGGTGCCGTGTGCAAGAAGGGAAGATCGGCGCATGCCTCAAATGCGCCACCCCGAGCAATGACATGGAGACGCCCCCCAGCCTTCACATCCCATAAGAACCCTGCCGACTTCCCTTCCGGAAGATGGTGTTTTAGATCAGGAGCTCTGCCTCCTCCACTCACTGATCAGTGAATGATGCTTCTCCTCTGCTGTTCTGAACCCAGTCTCGCTCTATTGGTGTAACTGACTCTGGGCAGAAGGACCCACTTGCAAGTCACTGGTCCCTTAGGGCTCGGTGACAGTTTGAGGCAGGATATCTGGCCTCTCTGTGCCTCAGTTTCCTCATCTGTAAAATGGAGAAAAAGCAGAACTGCTATTGGGAGGGTTAAAGAAGAGAATGTGTGGGAAGGGCTGAGCGTTGATCGAGCCGCTTTGCCAATGCAGGAGTCCAAAGCCACATGGCCCATTGGCACCTGTCCTCTGAGCTCTGCCCTTAGAGACCCCGTCTGAGCCCCTTTAACTCCTCACACAACTACCAGACAATCCTGGCTCAAATGGGGTGTTGGGGACAGGAAGCTATTTCTACAACTAAAAATAAGGTACCAACAGAATGTGGTGTATGTTCTCCAAAAGTCACAAACAAGACGGTTCGCAGCAGCGTGACTCATGATGGCTTCACACTGGAAGCTGCCCAAATACCCATCAACAGAATAATGACAAATAAACTGGTATTTTCAGACAATGAATACCACACAGCAATGACAGCGCAGAATTCACAGCCACACGCAGCAGCAATGGCCACAGAATCCAGACACCAAAGAGTATATGTTGTACGATTCTATTTAGATGAAGGACAAAAACAGACAAAACTCATCCATGCTGCCAGCTGTCAGGACAGGGATTCCCCTTGGGGGTGGGTGGTGACTGGAAGAGGGCAGGGTTGGACAAACGGGGAGTTTCCTGAAGGGCTGCTGATACATACTCTAATAATCATTTTTAAGAAAATATTAAATAAAGAATATATTTGAAAAAAATGCTTGATACTCCCCACAGCCGTCTTTCAAATTCAAGTTCTTTTATCAGGCCAGAGAAGTGAACACAGACATTTCGAAATGCAAAGCAACAACAGGTTTTTGCATTGTTCCTGCAAAGGCAACGACCCCAGACTCCATAAAAGGTGTTTAAGAGGCACCGCAATTCAGAGGAAAAGACACGGTTTCTCGGGATCTGAGGTCTTCCTAACTCAGGACATGCTGGACGGGGAGCTTTAAAGGCAGCGTCTTCCTCACTCAGCCTGGGTGACCACAAAGCCTCAGCCCCAGGAGTGTCCGTTGGTCAGCCGGGCAGCGTCAGCTACCTGTGGGAAACTGCGTGGACCTCCCAGCAGCTGCCCTGACCCTCCACGGCACACTTGCCCGGAAATCCAGTGCAGCCTCAGTGGGCAGTTCTCCCCATCGACGTCTGAATCCTGGACTGCTTCCGACATGGTGTCAGGCGCAGCCAGAGTCCTACCCGACCTCCTCTCGCCCGGGTCTCTTGACCTGATTTTTCTCTCCATCAGAGTCTTCTTGTCTGGATTTCTGACAGAATGATCCGAGTAACCCAGCTCTGAACCAAAAAGCAAGATGTTTGCCAAACTTCCTCTGCAGATCTACCGCAGCTTGTTTCCACCATGTTGGATTCCCCGCGACTGGAGAAAACCAGACCTGCCCGTTGCCCGGGGTGAGCCGCACGCCGCCTGGGCCGGACCTGCATGGCGCTTAAGCACCTTCTCCTAGACTGCTATGGAAGAGAGAAGTAAACACACTGATTTTGTGTGAACTACTGTATCTCTCTTTGCTACAACCGAGCCTGCACCACCTTTCAGAGGGCAGAGCTTCCTTCCTAGAGCTTCAATCCTATTTCCCTTCCTAACGCTGAGATTTCATGTACTCATTCCCATAAATCCACCTTGTATATCTATTCCCACCCAAGACAGTAGCCACTTTACATAAAGGACTTCTACTCCTAGAAATGATGGGCCAGATTCTCCGGACCAACTTTGCCAGTGAGGACCTCTACAGAAGCCGGACAAACGTCCTTAACTGAAAAAATTTACTCAAAGGCAGTGAGGAGCTGGGGAGGCAGTTAAAGTAACTAAGCTAAGCTAACGGAGAAGAGGGGCGTGTGGGCTTGCTTTTTTCCTGGGCACCTGCCAATTCTAGAAGAGGCGATTGGGAGGCTGAGCAAGATTGTTGACAGCCTTGAAGGGGCTAAGGGGGAAAAAAGTGAGAGTCAAAGCCCCCCAGGTATGGGAGAGAGGGGCTGGTACCCCCGCAGTGGGACTGGGACCCTGGAGGATGCATTCTAAGCACGGTGGGAGGTGGAAGACGCAGCCTTGCAGGGACTCCATCCAGCTCAGAATCAGGTCATCACTGAAACTGGGGTAAGGTGGGCCTGGATGACCAGCACGCCTAGGCTCCTTCCAGGAGCAAAGGTAAGTCTCTCCACAGATGATATAAGCCCAAACTTCCAATCACTTCCACAATTTTTTCAAATAACAGTGTCTGGCACGCATGAAAAATAACCAGGTGACTAGACTACAGGAACAATAACAGAATGAGCAGAAAAATAGACAACGCTGATACTGGCTTAAAACAACTCTGTTTACAGTGGGAAAGGACACAAAAGACAAGACTGAACATTTCAATTAGAAAACACTCAAAAGGACAAAGCAGATTTTCCATATATATATATATATATTCTATTTGTATATAATTTCCCAGTAGAAATTCCAGAATCAGGAAACCAAGCACTGACCCCTGATTATGGAGAGAGGTCCTGAGAGGTCATCCTCATCTGGATCCCACAGAATGGGTCCTCCATAGGAGAGAGGAGTAGAGAGAAGAAAGGCTGGACAACCAAACACAGTCCCTGTCCGCCTGGGGGCTTTCTAACTACGAGAAGAGAGAGAGTGGACAGCTAATGAAATTAAACAAGGAAAAATGTCAACTTTCAGAGAGTTCCCAAAGAGAACTCATTCCTGTAGAGAAAGTCGGCTCCCAGATTCTGTGCCTTCCTCCACGGCCCTCTGCTGCTCCCTGTGTGTCTCTGGAAATGGCAGGCTGCACCTGCCTACAACTTTCTTCTCTGCTCCGGAGATGCAGCTCCCTCAGCGTTCCACTGAGTCATCCAGCGAGTAAGCAAACGGGCTGATGGGCCAGGCCAGGCCAGGCCCCTGGGCTCTGCCCCCTAAGACAGGCTATTTCTTCACCTCGGAAACCGCAGAACCTGTTTCTCCCCCACCTTCTCTCCCCCACCCCACACCCACCACTCACCTCCTCCCACCAGCAGAGGCAGGGGTCAAAGGGCGCAGAGCGCTCCCTGGTTGCTGGAAGGCCTACCACATTTTCTCCCCTCCTGAGAGAAGGGAAACCCCACAGCGCTGTGGTGTGGGGAGATGGGGACCTAGACCTCCGGGCCACAAGCCGGGGACACGATGGAAGCTCCTCAGCATGATGTGGGTATTTATTTAACTTTAAGAACAACTCAGGTAATACTGTAAATATGTATTTTTTGCAAGAATGTCTGTATAGAGGTGTACACAGAGCTGAAGTTAAAGGACTTCCTCACGGCCCTGACCCCAACTCATTCCCACTCCCAGAGGTATTCATCTTTAACAGTGAAAACTCAAGCCCGCTCTCGTGTGCATGTGTCCACGTGTGTGTGTGTGTGTGTGTGTGTGTGTGTCTCCATCTGTATCTGGTGCCGCCCTACCTGAGGGGTTCCTAATGTGTGTTCTTTAGAAAAGGTCCAGCCCCTGCAGGATCTAGGCTGGAACAGAAAACCACTTTAACTCGGCCATCTATTGCCATGTAACTAACACCCCAAAACTGAGTGTTAAAAACAAACAAAACGCTCACCGTTCTATTTGGTTTACAGTTCTGTAGTTCCGCTGGGCAGTCCTCCCGACCTGGGCCAGCCGCTCACCCTGCGGCCAGTCGGTGGGTGGGCTGGAGCGCTCACTCCATCAAGCTGGTTGGCACACTGGTGGGTGCAAGGCCGTGAGGTGCAACAGCGGGTCCCCGCGTCCTCCAGCAGACCAGCCCAGGCTTCACCACAGGGGACCCCAGGCTCCCAGCAGCAAAAGCAAGAATCCCCCCCTGCGCGTGAGTGCTCTGGGGCTTCCGCTTACGTCACATCTACTAACGCCCCATTGGCCAAAGCAAATCACGTGACCAAACCCATCTTCCAGGAGTGGAGAAATAGATTGCGCCTCTTGATGGGAGAAGGAGCAAAGTTGCATTGCAAAGGACTGTACCTACAGGGAGGGGAGGACAGGAAGTCAGGGAGGGGAGAGCAGGAGGACTCAGGGACCTTGGGCGGACAAGAGTGCTTGCTACAAGGCCTTTTCGCAAGGCCGTCTCTGCTGGCTGCATAGCAGTCGGAGAGAGGGCTCCAGATAGAATAATTAGGGAAGGCTAAAGTGGATGTCACTGCTAATTAACAGGCAGTAAACGTGCTTTCAGAAATCATCTTCTGAAAGGAGTTGTGGGAAAGGAGGGAAATCTGATATTTGGAAAGAGGCTCCTCTTAGCTAAATGCTATGGTGTGAATGTTTGTATGCCCCCTGAAGTCATGTGTTGAAATCCAAACACCCAATGAGATGGTGTTGGCACGTGGGGCCTTTGGGAGGTGTTTAGGCCCTGAGGGTGAAGCCCTCATGAATGGGATTAGTGTTCCTATAACAGAGATCCCACAGAACTCCCCAGCCCCTTCCACCACGTGAGGACAGAGCAAAAAGAGGTCTATGAAGGAGGCTCTCACCAGACACCAATTTGCCACCACCTTGATCTTGGACTTCCCAGCCTTTAGAACTGTAAGAAATAAATTCCTGTTGTTTGTAAGCTACCCGGTGTCCGGTATTTTGTTACGTCACACTGAATGGACTAAGACCCCACTGCAGCCAGGCCCATTCTTAGTGGGCCCTCATCAAGGCAGCGTCCTCTGCTATTGCTCTTCCACTGTGGGGGGGATGAGAGCAATGCTTAGCAAAGGCATTCTGCGGAGACCCTGTGCTTTCCTCCTGAACAGAGAGCCACCCACAGCGTGCTCAAAATATTCTGCATGCAAATAGAAGTGTGCACTGGGCGAAAATTCATTCTTGCCTTTCTCAAAGCGGTGTGTTCCTGGAAGTCTTTACAGGGAAAGCGGTAAACAGAAAAGAAACAAATACCAAAGGATGACAGTGAAGAACAGTTACACAATACTTTATACTTTGATAAGAAAAACATGTTTCTTAAAAATCCGCTTACATTGGAAGCACCTAAAACATTATTTTACAGACTAGAGAAGTAACATTATTTCCTAAACAAACTATGTGGTCCTAGAAAATAAAAGAAAAAATACAAGATCAGTTGTCAATAAGAAAATAAAAATATAACATATATATTTATAAGATAATAAAAATAAAAATAAAATTTTATCTCAAAATAGCCATATGAAGTAGGCAAATCAGGGGTCTCAGAGGAGGGAACGAGGCTCAACAAGCTCAAAGTCACAGTTAGTGAGGGGGGTGCCTGGCCCTCAGATCCCAAGCCCCCCAACTCCACTGAGGCCCTGGGCATGGGGGAGGGGAAGCGCTAAATGGCCCAGCATCAGCTGGTCTCTGAATGGCTAAAACACGATAGTGATTCCATTATGGGGAAAGAAGAAATGGTTCTTTGTGGAGTAAGTAGATCCGAGGGAACGAGCTTTCCTAAGACTTTCAAAAAGGCCTTCATGCCGGCTCTAAATAAGGGGTACCTTAAAAACCTAGCTCACCATGCAATTAATAAAATGCTGAACCAGTCACAGAACGGAGCTGGGGGCAGGCCACTCAGAATAGGCACTTTACCCTTCTCTCTCCCAGCCCCCATCTCACACTCGCCTGCATCCTGACTTCCATTCCACTAAAGACCCTGGGAACAAATTGCCGCCTCGAAAATAAGTCACTTCCCCTATGTAGAAGTGGCTGGTTGAGTTTCATGACCTCTAAGACTCCTTCCAGCATCAAAATGCTTTTATTGCCCAGAATAGGGGTGGGCTGTTTATTTTTTTAAATTCCACTTATCTTATTCGCACCTCATCTCTACCCAGCTCGCCTTTGCTGGCCCTGTTTCCTGCCCTGAGCCTGTTGGACTCCATGCATTTTCCCTCTGACCCCCTGGAGCGCACGGGCAGTTTTGTGCCTCTCACTGGTAGCTTGCAGGGCGCAGGCGCTGTGGTCGGGTAGTGAGGGCAGGGACCACATCTCTCTTCGTCGCGGCCACGGCCCAGCACCAGGAGAGGGCTGGCTCACAGTGCTCAATAAAGACTGCTTTCATTTGACAGTCATAAAATATTGCTTAGTGACTCTAGTCACCTAACTTCTCTCTTCCCATTGACGGCCCTGTTAGGTCAAGTCCCCTGGGCTGGAGAGCTCATGGCTGGAAGTCTCTGACACCAGCAACTGACCTGATAGTCACAGCTTCACCTCAAGGTTATTACAAGCTGAGCTGACACTCACAGCCGGGCCATTTCGTTTTCCTGTTGGACGTAAACATTCTCAAAGAGCAACAACTGCACACAAGGTGCTACAGACTGAATGTTTGTGTCCCCTTAAAATTCATCCGTTGAAACCTCGAGGTGGGGCCTTTTAGAGGTGATTCGGTCCTGAATGCCGAGCGCTCTCGAACGGATAGGTGCCCTTATAAAAGCAGCCCCAGAGAGCTCACTCACCCCTCCTGCCACGTGAGGACAGAGCCAAAAGACAGGGGTCTGTGAACCAGGAATCGGGCTTCACCAGACGCCAAACCTGCTGCCACCTTGATCGTGGACTTCCCAGCCTCCAGAAAGGTGAGAAATAAATTTCTGTTGTTTATAAGCGACCCAGTTTACGGTATTTTATCATAGCAGCCCAAACGGAGTAAGACACAAAGTTACTCCGACACTGATAAAATGAAAAAAAACAAAGCCACTTCACCATTCTGTTTAAGCACAGACAAAAGTAAGGTCACTGTGCCACCACAAAATAGCCATCACAGAATCGCCCCGCTTCCTGACATCATCCAGTGCAGAGCAAAACTCTACTTCCTCAGACCCTCTCCCAAATCACGTGACCAAAGCCCAAATCCTGTAGGTTCTTTCTCACATCCTCTTACCAAGGCGCCTGGCTGCAACAAGTGATACACCCAACTTACTTAACTACACGTATGTTCCTGGTGGTCCCCGGCCGAAATGCGCTCACAGGTGTAGGCAGTCATTTCACTTTCACTGATATGCACCAACATCTTATGGGTAAGGACTGGTATTCCCAGTTTACACCCAGAGAAACGGAGGCTGAGTGGGAAGGTGATTTAACAGAGACCACACAAGGGGACTTCGAGGCCTCACCCTGGTCACCTAATGCAAGGGTCAGTCCAGGCCCTTTTCACAACACCCAGATGGCCTCAGCCACGTGGAATAACGCTGTCTTTACCTTAGAGGTGAAGGCAAACAGCAGGAACACGATCCCTCCCACCAGGAGCATCTCTCAGTCTTAAGGGGCTTTTAGAAGGAAGCTGAACTCCACAGTGAAGGTGTATGTTCCAATCTGGGGAGTCAGTAAACGGATGGCCATTATATTATTCTGTATACCTGTGGGTATACAAACACTTCACAGAAATTTTAGTAAGGACAGTGAACTGAAAACAAAGCCCAGAAAGACGCCGGTGGTGCCTAGATGGCCAGCCGCCTCCGGCCTTTCCACCTGCAGGGCGGATGGATGGATGGAGCATCAGCAAGCAGGACCCCGACTAGAGCGAGGCACTTGTCCGGGGCGCAAAATTTACGGGGCGCCAAAAATCTCACTAACCAAGATAGCTATGATTTAGGGCAATATTTTAAAACATCAAATCAGCAAATTACGACCTAAGGGCCGGTGCCCTGTTTTGGTAAATAAAGTTGTGTCGTTAAGTCCAATCAGCATGTATCCACACAAAAACCAGACTCGAGCGTCCGCAATCCCGCGGCCCCACGGCGTCCACTGCGCAGAGGAAAGGGGGCGCCTCTCGCCCCCGGCCGCAGGCCCGGCGCAGCCCCAGGCCCCCGCCCCTCCTCCCCCGAGGGGCCCGCGCCACCCCAGGGCCCGCGCCAGCCCCGGAGCGCAGGCGGCCCGCGCGTTGCCCGGGAGACGGACGCGCAGCCGGACCGTAGCCGCCGCCATGGCCGACCCGCCCGCGCACCGCAGCTTTGAGAAGCCCAGGAGGGAGGAGGAGGAGCAGGAGGAGGAGAAGGCGGGGGACAGGGAGGCCGAGGGCTCGCACGGCGACGAGGACTTCTGGAAGGCCCTGGACTGGAGCGACACCCTCGACGACGAGCCGAAGGCCCTCCGGCCCCGCCTGACCAGCGTGGTCAGCCCCAGCCTGAGCCCCACGCCCTCGCCCGGCTTCACGCCCCGCGCCAGCTCCTCCTCGAGCGTCTCCTCGCAGAGAAGTAGCGCCCCCCGCCCCGCCCCGGCCCTGGGTCCCGGGCGCGGGCTAGGACGTCGCGCGCAGAGCCCGAGCCGGGCGGCGCTGTGCCACGGGCTGGTTCTCACGACCCTCTGCGTGCATTCGCGCAGCGCTCGCGCACACGCACGTGCCACTCCTGGAGGAGGAGCGGTGCCTTAAGGGTGCTGTGCGCTGAAACAGTCCTGCACAAAGCACCTCACCTCTGTGTCTAACTTCCTGTGCTGGAACCACTCCAGTCACTCCTTTAAAAGAGAGGCAGGTCCTCAGTCTCCCAGTAGTGACATTCCGGGCGGGACCATTCCTTGTTGGGGCGGGGGGCGGTTTTCCCCCACATTGGAGGATGTTGGCAGCTTCGCTGGCCTCTGGCTATGCCGTTAGCCCCTACCCTCCTTTGTGTCAATCAGAAATGTCTTCAGACATTGCCAAATGTCTCCTGGGGGGCCGAAACCGCCCTTTTGAGAACCGTTGATTGAGAGGGAGTGGCTAAATTTTTTAATGTTTCATTCAACAGGTTTTCCTAAAATATTTCAGACATTTAAGAAAGACGTGTCTAAAAGGAGTTTAGATGGGTAAGAAAATGTTTTCCGTTTTCTTTTTTTTTTTTTGAAGCTGATGATGTTTACATTTTGTATAAATGTCAGGAAGTAGACTAAAATCATCCAGGGCATTTGCAACTAATTCATTCAAACATTCAAAAAGGTTTTTTTTTTTTAAAAAAAAGTCTACACTGTTAGACACTGGAGGAGAGAGAGACCAGGGCCCCTGCCGGTCTCCAGCCTATTACCCACTTTTGAGACAACCTGTCACTGGTTACCATAACATGAGATACACCTGTGCGCCGTGTGCACAATGGTAAGTGCTGTGAACTTTTAAAGTCTTAAGCATAAGGAGAATTGTTCTGTCCCATTACATGTTTTTATTTATCCTTTTAGTTTAATGTTTTAGTAAAAGATAATATATGCACATGATTAAAACATTAAAAATATACAAAGGTATAAAATTAAAAATCGCCACGCCCTCCTCCACCCCTGCTCCACTCCCCAGAGTTCACACACTCTTAACAGTTTTGTTTCCAGGATAATTTTAAATCGCATATTTTCATTCCTTGATTTATCAATTTTTGATACAACTACTGACTTCCTCCCGCGAAAGATGAGGAATGTAGCTCATGCTACAGCCCCACCCTCTCCATTTTTGGTCATTGTATTACTTTTAGTTTAGGACCTTTATTTTAACCTCTAGGATTTTAAAGTATTTAAACCTCTACTTCTTGATTTATCAATTTTAGTGACTATCTATTAACTCTATTATGAAAAGTTAACACATTAATGCATTTCTACTTCCTTCTAGCTCTCCTCACTCTTCCTCTCCCAATTAACAATGAATTATATATATTATATAACAAACTATATTGAAATATGTGGTATATATTCATATAAAGTCATATTACTTTGCCAAGTTTTCTTATGTTTGTATTTTGTTTCATAATTATAATGAACTCAGTGCTTTGGGTACAGATTGATTCTAAAAATTGAAAACCAATAAACAACATTTGTAATTTCATGCTAAAGAACCCAAAAGTGTGACTGAATTCATGCACAAGAAAAGGAAATCCTATGTCTGCAAAACTTGGCTCCCGAAGGAAGAACTGTTCAACTCTCCTGCTGTTTTCAGTTGTCTTCGATCTTTCTGAGTTGGGCCCAATGACCACACTTTCTTGATTCCCATATTGCTTTCTTTCTTTAATTCCTTTTTTTTTTTTCTGGAGAAACTCTGCAGAAATTATTTCATGTAGATCTAATGGGTAGTCAAATTTCTGAGTTCTTGCTATCTGGAAATTTCTTCATTTTGCCTCCATACTTTGTTAATAATACAACATGGCATAAAAACATAGGTTTACCACCATTTTCCCCCAGGGCCATTGCTCCATTGTCTTCTAGAATCCAGTACTGCTTAGGCTGATTCCCAAACACTTCTGAGATTTGATTATTTCCTCCCCTCAGTGTCTGTAGTTTCTTCTGAGCCTCCTGCTGCATGGCCGTTGGACCTCTTGGATATGGTCAAGATTTTTGGTGTTCACATGCGACCGTGCAGCCCTTGCACAGCACTTTTTATTTCAGGATTCATATTTGTAATTTCCAAGAAGGTTCTTGTTCACTGATTGTTGCTGTTCAAATAGTTGGGTTTTGTCTTTGAAATCTCTTTAAGGGTACTCATAATATACTACAGTTCTCCTCTGTTCTGTGTATTTCTTCCTTTTTCTCTCGGGATCTGGTGTTCCGTTTGTTTATCTTGGTCCTTTCCTTCCACGCTCCTGGTTCTCCTCCAGCGACTGGTAATCCTTGGTTATCCATTTGTATTTATAAATGAATGAATGGTAGCTAGAACGGAGGCCTTCCACAGCTGAGAGGTTCCCCTTCCCGAAGGGCTGCCTGGAGGGTTGACTGAGGGGGTGGGGCCCATGTCAGAGCCAGCTTCCTGGGGGCTGTCGGCGGGAGCAGGCAAGCTGGGCGACCCACATAACTAGAGTTAGGATAAGGACACTTCACTGGGGGTTGGAGTTCTCTAGGCATTTCTTTCCCAGGTGGAATGTCACTTCCCCCTTTCTTATCCAAGCCTGCTGGGCAGGGCCCGAGAAACTTCAGACTGCGCTCTGCTTCCCTGAGAGGCCTCAAACCTCCCCGGAAGGCTGCCCACCCTTTTTAGAAAGCGGTTCTTTGGGCTTCCTCTACAAATACAGACAACTGCTGCCAAGTGCCCTGGAGCAGGGGACAAGAAGGGGCTGCCGGCCACCTGTTCCAGCCTCACCCCGTGAACTCCTCTGGTGACAGTCCTGGACCCCTCCTCTCTGCATCCAGCTGAGTCTGAGCTAGCAGCTTCTCCTGAGTTCCCTTCAAGAACTTACTCTCCTCTCTCATCTTGAGCTACGATGTTCTCCCTTCTGTTTTCTATCAGCCTAAGGCCATTTATTTTCTTCCTTTTAAGGTCGTCTTCAATATTACTTGTCTACTGATGACGCCTGTCTTGTCTTCTAGGGCTATTTTTCCTGGTTGGTTCGTTTTTAAGTGTTCGTTATTTCAGCAAGACATGGAAAAGAAGGGAAGGAGGGTTGTGAGCTCGGCTGCCATCTTGACCTGGACTTCCTATTATCTGGGAACCTCTCTTTTCTAGATCAGGTTCTTAATTTCTCCTCATAAATCTTCCTAAGAAGATGCCTCTTTTATATTTCGAAGCGTTCTCTGGTGAATTTGGTGAGAGAGTGTTTTTAAGAAGATCTATCCTAAAAAGTCATAAAAATGCAACCGATATTGATTCAACTTCTATTTTTAATTGCCCTGTTACTATTCTAGTTGCAAATGGGGCAAACTGGAGGAGGCAGATGCCTGTGGAGAAGCACAGGTTTTGGAGCTGAGCAGGTCCGGGTTCCGTCTGCGTGGGCCGCGCGTGACTCGAGCTTCCCTGGACCCTCAGTTTCCTGGCCTGTAGAAAGGGAATACTGTCACCTGCCTTGAGGGGCTTTTGTAAAGATAAAGGAAATGATGGGAGTAAAGCAACTACTGTGTACCTACTACCACACAGTCAGTTCTCAGTAAACATTCCCTTTGTTATTGTCCTTGGTCGTCTGCCATCTTTACACAGAATTTTGGAAACCATCTTTAGAGCTGGTTTAAGGAAAGCAGAGAGACCTAGATGAATAGCATACTGACCGTGTTAACTGTTGAATTGGAAACAGCAAGCATTAAGTGTTGTCTGGGAACTGCTCTGTCATGTTCCCTTCCTCCTGGTCCCTGTCACACGTCTCTCTGGGAGCCTGGATAGACAGCGCTCCCTCAGAGACTTCACAGGTGGCTTCGGCAGATAGTTCTTCGCGTGTTACAGGACACGGTCGTTCCAGAATTAGAACACCCCACTGCCGCAGTGTGCCAGGGAACGAAGCATCCAAAAGGGGAGGTGGAGACAGCAGAGAACTGAGAAGCGTGAAAAAGTGACAATCCTGAAATTGACTACATTATTTGGAAAACTTTTGTTTGATGATTTTAGAAGATCCAGCAAATTATTACCAAAATATTGAAATTCAAAGCGGTAAAGGAACTTGAAAAGCACTAGTTATTGCTCACTTGTTGCCCGTGACAGTCATCTTCACTGGTAGAAGTCAGTAAGTTCCTGCCTTCCCATCGTGTTGATGATAACTCAACTCGTTAAACCACTTGTAGAAAGAATCCCGACTGTTTAGCTACAGTGCATTCAACTTCAGCCCTGGAGAAAGAGTTTGGATTGTGTTTAACCTATTTAAAATGAACAATATGTTCTCGTTTAGATTCAAGTAAATGTTTAAACACACACACCATCACTGCCACCACCACCATCACACATGCGCAGACAGAGTGGTAGTAATTTACTCCCTGAGGGAAATAATACAGGATTGGGAGCCCCTGGGATTCAGAAAGGAGTATTTTCCAGAGAACAGATATGATGTAAACACACTGGGCCTGAATATACTGAGGAGATATGAACGGAAGAAAATATTTCAAAGAAACAGAAATCCGGATCTGGTATGTATATTTGTTAATTGACTGTTAAATGTACTATATTTCGAGGAACTGCTGACAACTATATAGGGGTCCTCAAATCTAACATTTTGTCTAAATTTCAGGAGTATCTTTCCCAGTTTTTATTCAAGAATTCCGATATCAGTACAAACAGAAGAAAGCTGGCTTCGAGAATTGTCTAGCAAAAGGCAGCAGAGTGAGTGCTTCGCTCCCTTAGCTCCTGCTGGGAGGTGGGGTTGCTCAGTGGAAAGAGCACGGTGGGTGGCCGGGGAGGGGGCTCGGTTGGAGTCCCAGCCCCACACCAGCCAAGGCTGTGACGACTGGGCAAGGGCCTTCACCTTCCTGAGCCTTGGTTGCTTCCTCTGTTGGCAATTATAGTACTTCCATCCCCGGATTGTTATGAAGGTCAAAGCGAGATGAAATATTTAAACTCCTTGGCGCTTGATCTTTAATAAATGGTAGCATTTATGTTCACGTCAAGAAATAATCTACCATTATGTTTTGATACATTATCTTTATTTTTTATTATAGAAGTAATATATGTATGCTGTTTTTCAAATGTCAAAACATTAAGAAACATATAGTGTAAACATTAAAATTTTAACTAATCCCAGCATATTCCTCAGAAGTAATCATTATGAATAGCCTTTCCTTTCAACTTTGACCTTTTTTGTGTGTTGTATCACTTCTCCATCAGGTGGTCGCTGAGAACCTCTCATAGGCCAAGCTCTGTTCTAAGAAACAGCAAACAAAACAGACAAAACGCTCGTCTCAGTGATCTTCTGTGGAATGGAGGGAGGTGGAGGTGATGGGGAGTAAATGGCACACAAAATAAGTCAATATGTAATACATCTGGTGATGTACGTGCTCGGGACAAAAAGCGGGGAAAGAGACGGAAAATGCTGGGCGGAGGAGGTGTGAGCTACACAGGTCTCTGGGAAGTCTTCACGGGGAGGCTGGGCTGTCTGAGCAGAGACCTGCAGGAGGCAGAGAGCGAGCCACGATGGTCTCTGGGGGAAGAGTGTCCCACGCACGGCGCACAGCAAGAGCCTCATTCTAGAACAAGGAGGCGGCTAGTGTGGCTGCACTGGAGTAAGTGAGGAGGTGCATCCTGGGGGATGAGGTCAAAGAGTCAGTGAGGACCAGATCTCTTTCAATGGGAATGAAGTGGGAAGTCACTGGAAGGTTTGCCCAGAGGAGTGACAAAATCCAACATAAAAGTGGACCAGAGATTAAAAAGATGCTAATTAATCTGTTGAGTCAGTGTAATTCCGATGGGTTTTTTCGATGGAATTGACAAATTGAATCTTTGGTCTTGCTTTGCAGTGTTAAAAGATAAACTGAGGCATTTGCAAATTTTTAAGAGTTTATTCGAGTGAACACGGTTTGGAATCAGGCAGCACCAGAAAGGAAGTGGTTGGGGCGCTCCACCGACGAGAACTAGGGCAGTGGTTTTGGTAGAATAGACGCAGGAGCCCAGCAAGGAAATTATTTGATTGGCTATGGCTTCAGCGCTTGCTTCATTTGGGAAAGGCTCGCCAGCTGTTTGTAACGGCCGCTCCTCCTCTGGCCCCGAGGCGTCTGCAGGAATGGACGCCAGCCTGGGCTTCACTTTGCTCTTCAGGCCTCCGAGCACTGGAGGCACCTCGTCTGTGACAGCAGGAACCTAGCAAACCTGTCCATTGTCTTCAGATCTTCTTTTATGGTGTTTTTTTTTTCATATAGGACTCATCTGCAGCTCTTATTAGTTTATTCCTGGGTATTTTATAGTCTTTTCTTGATGTAAAAATTGGGATCTTTTTTTCCTGTTATATTTTCTAATTGGTTATTGTCAGTGTGTAGGAAAACTATTGATTTCTATGTATTAATCTTGTATCAGAACCCCTTGCTGACTTTCTAATTAATTCTAATAGTTTGCCAGTTGAAAGTCTGCTGGACAATCACATTTCCAGTGAATAATGGCAGTTTTCTCTCTCCTTTAGTGATTTTCCTTAGCAGCATATCATGGATGTCTTTCCATGTCAGGAGAGATCGGTCTAATTCTTTGAGACGACTCTGTAGTATTACATGCAGTCACTGTCACTCAAGTAATAACCTGATGCCTAGATATTGCAGGGTTGGTGGGTTGGCTTGGTTTTGTGTTTTGAGCTCTTCTCTGTAACAAACAATGCCTTAGTGAAAATCTTTGTGCATTCATCTTTTTATACTTGTGCTAGCGTTTCTGTTGGACACAATGCCTCCAACGTATTTAAAATGTTTTCAGATAGTCCACGTGGGAAGAGCATCATCTTCTGAAGCCTCTCTCTTTCTCCTACAGCAGTCCTTGCTGCTCCAGGCTGTGCTGGGGAAATGGGGCAGCCCCTCCCTTCGGCTCTGCCCCGTTGCCTGTTTCTCTGATTGGTTTTTCATCATTCCAGTCTTACTCACTGAAATCTTCTAGACATTTACTCAGAGTTGCTGGTGTGTTGACGGCTGCCTTGCCCATTTCCGGTGTGGCCCTGGAATAGTCCCGGTGGTTTAGGTCACTGTCTTGAAATGGAACCCCCGCACCCTTGCACCTGAACACTCTTTTCCAGAATGACAGACACCAGGTGGAAAGAATAGTACTTTAAAAAAGCAGAAAACAAAAGGGTCTGCAAACCGTGGTTTGATCAGGTAGAAGATGCGTGCGTGCCGTGTTCCAGGAGCGGGAAGGAACACGGAAAGATTTTAAATGTGATACATCAGTGGCATTTCCTCTCTTGGTTCCTTATTGTTGATAAAATGTCGTTTGGGAAAGGCAAAACATGAAAAGATAAAACCAACACTGTAAAGGTACTTATTTTTCCAAGAGGCATATTTTCTTTTATATTAAACTTCTTTCCTACTTTGTCAGGATTGATGACAAACGTACACACTTTTCACAGGGAAGAAACTGCCCTCTGTGATGAGGGAGCCTGAACCTGAAAACCCACCTGCTCAGATAAGAGGTAAATAGGTGTTTGGAGGCCTCCTCTCTGCTACCAAAGGCAGCCCGCCCACCCGAGGGACCCGCCTGCACTTGGCCGGGCCACCCCCTGAGAATGTGTGCAAGGAGGTGGTGAGAAGTGGGGTTTCAGGGCATTTGAACAGCGTGTGCGTGCGCGTGCGTGTGTGTGTGTGTGTGTGTGTGTGTAAGAGAGAGAGAGAGAGAGAGAGAGCAAGACGGGTTAGGATCTCTCAACTAGAGAAAATGCAATACTCTGCACAAAGTTTTTCACTTTCCCTCTAAATCTATCCTTTTCTCTTCAGGAAAATGGGTAATTAATCCAGAAGAGCCAAATCTAAATATTTTATGTGAGCTGGAGGTAAGAAATGTTTATCAGTTCAGGAAGACCCTGTGCTCATAGTAAAAAAAAAAAAAAAATCACTTGTTCAATCTTCAATTTTCTCTCTCTCTCTTTCTAAATTTAGTTTGAGGAAGACTTTATAAGACTGTTCGAGCCTTCTCTGAGAACACTGCCCAGCATCGGGCCTCCGTCCATTCTGGCATTCAAACGGGAGACTTCCAATTTAGACATTAAGTTCAAGGTGATTTTAATTCATATTTTTTTTACTTTTACTGTAACAAATGATGTGAAAAGCCACATGACGATTTGTACAAAAGACAGTGAACATACTAAAAAGAGAAAAAAAAAACAAGCAAAGAGCTCGTTACTTGGAAGAGCGCTGAGGTGGCTGTGTGAGGCCCCTGGGGCTGCTGTAATGAGGGACTGCAGACTGAGAGCTTAAGATGACAGAAACCTGGTGTCTCGGGGTTCTGGAGGCTGGAAGCCCCAAATCAAGGTGTCAGCAAGCCCACCTGCAGGGCGCGTCCTCCCGCTCCTCCTGGCCTGGTCCTGGTCCTCGATCCTGGGCTTGCAGCTGCATCACTCCAGTCTCTGCCTCAGATGTGCCAGCATTCTCTGTGCCTCTGCATCCAAATGTCCCTGTACTCCAAAGACACCAGCCATACGGGATTAGGGCCCACCCCAACTGACCTCATGGGAACGTGATTACGTCTGCAGAGACCCCGTTTCTAAAGAATGCCACATTCACGAGCACCAGGGTTAGGACTTAAACATTTATTTTGGGGGGACCCAACTTACCCCGTAACAGCGGCCATAAAGCCTGGAAGCCTAGGTGAACGTTTGCCGTGTCTGATCGGGTTAAGTTACCAATTAATGCCTGTGCCGGATGGGCAAGGGAAAGGTCACCTTAGGGCTTGCAGCAGGATGGCACATCCCTGGGGCCCGGAGTGGCGGGGGAATGCCTGGGGTGTGATGATTTCCACTCTTGGACAGCACGGCCGTGGGGGGTGCTGCCCACTCCCCTGGTCAGGACCCCCGGATTGCTTCCTCTAAAGGCGCAGCCTCTCCCCTGAAAAGGAGACGCCGGCCGAGGGAGGAGGCGTGACACACGGTGCGCAGCGGCTGGTGGCAGTGCTGTGCGGCGTGCTGAGCTGGTCGGCGTTCATTGCCATTTTCTGCTGCACGTGGAACTCTGCAGTTCTAACGTGGGCCACCCCGTAAACACATCGTGTAATGTAATACAAGTCGACACTGACAGTTTATGTTCGCCCGGGGTTCTAAACTTTACGGCCACCTCATAGACTCTTCAGGCTGAAGGGCTTTCTTTATTCAAACACACCACCTTCCTTTTTCTGAACCACAAAGGCTTCTATCGGGGCCGTTTCTTGAGCTTTCTTCCCCTGACACCCAGAGATGGGCCTGAACATGGGGAAGGCCTTGTGGCCTTTCTTCCGGGGAATGGTCCCTGCACTGGCAGCAGGCAGGGCTGGGTCCTCCTGCACCGCATCTCGGGCAGATCCTTCGGGTCCCCTGAGATGAGGCCTCACACTAGAATAGTTCGGGGGCTGGCCAGCCCTCCTCTCCAGCCACGCCCTCTTCAGGGGCACATTCCACCCCACTCAGGGTCTTTTGAAGCATCTCCACCTTGCTTCACACCCCGCCCCCCGCCCACCATCCGCCAGGGAAGGGCTGAAGACACCATGGGCTGAGGAGTTCATTACTAAGACCCTCGTATGGAACAGGGGGGAGACAGGCTGGCGTTGCCGAGCCCGCTTTCTGCCGTGCCCCGTCGTTTGGTAGCCATCCTAGATCCCTCACCACCGTCTCTCCATGGCAAGGCTTTCCTCCCCAAGTGTCCTGCTTCCAGTGCTAGGCACTACTTACCATCATGTGTTTCAAGGGCCTAAAGATGCTGCACATTACTCTGGGGTGGTGAGTGCCTGGCTGCACTGGCCACCTCAGTCGCTCTTTGTCCCCACAGTGGCCAATTTGCCAGTCCCAGAGGATGGGCTCCATGGCAAACAGGTGCCCTGGTAGCATTCATGACCTGCAAGTCATGTGCCATCTGGGTCTTTCCCTGGAGGCCTGTGCCGAGGCCTGGCCGCTCTCCAGCCCAGGGGCCTTTGCAGTCACAGCCACTCCTCCAGTCACAACGTGGTCCTAGCACATCAACCCCGCACGGAGTCGCCCAAGCCCCCAGCTCCCGGTCTCCCTCTTGTTTCTCCTGCTCTCCCCACACCCCACCTGAGTTGCCTTCACAGCAAGACAGGAGAACTCAGAGCCCCAACCTGGGCTTCCCCTTGAGAAAGGACTCCACCTTCCTTTAGAAGTTGGTCATTGTAAATGGTGGCCTACATAGAAACTTGAGACCTTTTCTTACCTGCCACTTCTTAGAGAGTTTATGTCCTCAAACCCCTTAGACCATTTGCATAGTGTCTAGTGTGTGTGATCCTTTCTCTTGCATCTGGTTACACACTGTGCATCCCCCCATCCCACAAGGAACTCTAGGGTCAACAGTAAAGTCATTTCTGCAACTTTCTCCTTGCACTGAGGAGGCACCCCAAGGACTCACGCAGCTCCTGAAGGGCTCAGCTGTGTCCTGTGAACTGTACCCACAGAGACCCTCAAAACACCACCTCAGCCCCCTCGGGCCTCCCCAGCCCTTGGATAGCTGGGATATCTCATTCCTGGAGTCTACAGTTCTTGCTGGCGTGGTGCCTTTCCACAGAGGCTCTCAGCCCCCCAAAATTCCCCACCAGCTATTGGGGAGCCCCCTGGGGGTCTGAAGGAGTTCTCAAGCAGGTTTGCCCACCCCCCAACCCCAGCCCCCGCCGTCCTGCTGGACGCTTGCTGGCCCTGCCAGAGCCCGGCTCCTGCCGCTCAGAGGCTCTGGGCCTCCTTGCGGGCACGCCTTCACTGTCTGCCCCTCTCTGAAGGAAGAAGACGAAGAGCTGTCGCCCAAGTGTGAATTCTGTGGGAGCGATCTAAGAACCTTTCTTTCCAATGTGGACGTCTCCGCCGACAACAGTGGCTCTGAGTGGACAGAACATGTAAGTTCCTGAGCAGGCTTACTGAGGAAAGAGTGTCATTTTTAACCGCTGCTTTTAAACATAGCCGGTATTTCTCCCTGCATCTTTCCCATGCGTTGCCATTCTGAAAAGAGCTGTGCTAGCCGTGGGGGAAATGCAGATCACAACAACAGCGAGACACCACTTCGCACCCCCTGTCACAAAGACAAATGATGACCAGTGTCGGCAAGGACCTAGAGACCCTGGAACCCTCATCACTACTGAAGGAGAAGACAAAAAAGTATGGGCGCTCTGGAAAACAGCCTGGCGGGTCCTCAAAAAGCTACCCCAGCAGTTCCATCGCAGGTGTATGCCTAAGAGAATTGAAAACTATGTCCACACAAAAACTTGTACACAAACGTTCATAGCAGCCAAAAAGTGAAAACGACCCCAAATGTCCCTCAGCTGATGAACAGGTACATAAATGTGGTGTATCCACACAATGGGATATGATCCAGCCATAAAAAGAAACGAAATACTGACATGCTACAACATAGAGGAACCTTGAAAACATTATGCTCAGTGCAAGAAGCCAGTCGTGAAGTGCCACATGTTGTAGGATCCTGCTTATAGGAACTGTCAGAATAGGCAAATCTATAGAGACAGAAAATAGGTTAGGCTCTGCCAGGGGCTGGGCAAGAGGGGGATAAGGAGCAACTGTTAATGGGTACAGGTTTCATGTTCTGAAATTGACTGTGGTGATGGTTGCATAACTCTGCGATATGCTAAAAACCATTGAACTGTACACTTGAAATGGGAGAATCATATGGTACGTGAATTATGTCTCAATAAAGCTGTTACCAAAAAAATTATGATAGGTTGTTATCCAGACCCCGTTAGCCGCTTTTGGTTTTTTTTCTTCAGTTATCTTCACCTGGGACTGATGAGATGAAAAGAACCTCCCTGTTTTTCAGGCCTCCTGTTGCGATTACTTCCAAAACCTGCTGGACTACATCTATGAGGAAAAACAAAACATCCCAAGCTCTGAAGCCGAGTTGATCTGCATCAACCCTCATGCAGCCCATGGCAGTGAGACGGACAGGCTCAAAGCAAAGGAGAAAGCCCTGCGGAGGTAACTGGCGCCTTCGGCCCTGAGACTCAGAGGGCCCCCTGCAGCAGAGAGCCTTTTGTGAAATGAGCCTTGTTTTCTCAAAATGTATCATTTTGAACATTTGTTCCCAGTGAAGAAATAAAAATTGGCCAAAGCCAACCTATTACAATTCCTGGTGGATGTTATGAGATTCGGAAACTCAGTGAATACACTGATTTAAAGTATAAATTTACCGGGGCCAGCCCAGTGGCGTAGTGGTTAGGTTTGCACTCTCTACTTCAGCGGCCCGGGGTTCGCAGGTTCGGATCCTGGGCACTGACCTACACATCGCTCATCAAACCATGCTGTGGCGGCATCCCATATGCAAAATAGAGGAAGACTGGCACAGATGTTAGCTCAGGGCCAATCTTCCTCACAAAAAAATAAATAAGTGAAGTGTAAATTTACCAATCCAAAATTCCCAGGGCAATTCAGAATTCCTAAATCAGAACAATTTGTCCGCTAAACAGAGCAGCAACCCAGGCACACTTCTTCCATGACTGATTCACAGGTCCTAACAGATGCAAATAACAAGGGATGGCATTTAAATAGTTAAAATTTATAGTATGCTGTTTTAAGCTTCAAACACATTTCAGATTTATGTATCCTACTTTTTAATTTTGTAGAAAACAGGAGCGACAAATGGCCAAACATCTTTCAATAATAGCAACTCAACAGCCGAATGTCCCTGAAGACGGTAAGTTCGTCAGCGCTGATGTGATAGACGGGTTGTACATCAGAAAGCTCCTATGTTTGACCAAGATCTCAAATTGGCATATTTTAAAAATAATATTTAAAATTTTCATTTCAGTCAATGCGTCAGTCAAAGTGGCTCAGAAAATCCGGTGTTTCAGTCATCTGGCTTTTGAAGCTTTTAGTCTTCAGCTCATTATTGTTATTGATTGAAATAAACACCAACATCTAGAGAGCACTTTCCAGATGGCTGCCAAGAGTTTTGAGTTCATTGTCTTGTCTCACTAAACACACATTCCGTTTTGTTTCCAAGCTGGAATGTGGAAAATCTGTCAAAAATGAATCAGATGCCTTTCTTCACCCATAGGTTCCATCAGCTGGCTGGCCAGTCTAGCTATGGTACTGGTACAACTGAGGGAGCATGGATTTTAGAATCAGAAGTTCCAGATTTCTACCCTTGGTTTTCTCCTTTATAGGTTGTCTGATTTGGGGTAAATTGCTTGCGCTTCCTGAACACTGGGCTCCTCCTCTACCACTCAGAGCTACTGAAAAAATGCAGAGGGAAGATACATTTATACATATTTTTCTCAAACTAAATCCTAGTATCAAGTTCCTTGATATTCAACTGTTTCCTACTAAACATAAGGCCAGAAAACTCCACTTAATGAAAATCATCATTTTTCTTCTAACAAAGGAATGTTCTCATATTTTAACAAAAGAAGGCCTTCACTTTGAGGAAGATCCTCATTTTTCTCCCATTAAAAAAATGTCTGATGAATCAATGCGTTTGTAATAGGGTGTGAAATTTCATTTTAGAAGAGAGGTTTTAGAAAATTTAAAACATATATTTACTTTCCTGTGATTCTTTTCCCATTAGATCCAAAGCACTTAAAAACAATTTCTTATCAACTTTCCGCGGATATTCCAGAAAAAAAGCCAAGTGATGACAGACTATTTGATTTCCAACTAGACCAAAAAGACGTATCCATTGTTTGTTGTGATTCCAGGATAGCGTGTGGAAAGGTAAGGAGCTTGTCATTTTTTCAATTGCTACTCTTTAAAGATGAGTTTTACCTAAAATTATAAAAGCTGTCATAATGAGTATAACAGTTTTGCTACAGGACACATTTAACCATTTGTCAAAAAGAATGGGTACAGACTTGGCCTTTTAACTTCTACTGGACTTTCTAACAATGCTGTACATACGTTTTATGGGGGGCTATTTTGGTTAAAGCCTTTTTACTTTACAATGGGATAATTGTACATTAAGGAACATTTGGGACTCTTGGAAAACTAAAAAGAAGGAGAGAAAATCACCAAAAGTCTAAAGCACTTCCCCAGAATTACTACTAATATTTCAATATTTTCTAGATCTGCACTACCCAATATGGTAGCAACTACTACACATGGCTATCTAAATATAAAATAATTAAAATTAAATAAAATTTAAAATGTAATTCTTTAGTTACGCTCACCACATTTCAAGTGCTAAATAGCTGTGTGTGACTAATGGTCACCATCTTGCAGTACAGATATAGAACATTTTTATGGTCACTAAAAGTTCTGTCAGCACTGTTCTGGTCTTTTTTTATGCATGTGTTTTTGTTAACACACTTCTAGTTATATTATATATGTAATTTTTATCTTTCTTAACTTAATTATAAAAATATTTTCTATGATATTATATAGCTTACATTAACATCATTTTAATATCTATGTGCTTTTTCATTTGGTTTGTTTAACCGTTCCCCTTTTATTGGACATACAGGTTATTAACAATTTTTTTGTTAATACCAAATAATATTGCTTTGAGTATCTTTATGTATAAATTTATTTTTATATAAGTATAGCTTCTCAGAATAGATTCTTAGAAGTTAACTTACTGAGACCAGGCTTGTTTCTCTTGGTGATACAGAATTTAAGGGGTGGCAGTGAACTGAGGTGCCTGATGAAATAAAATCCAAACCGTGTCTAGAGGAAGGTCACTCATCTAGCCCTCAGATTACTCCTACAAATTATCTTTCAAGTTCAATTCCAGCACATGGTGAAAAATAATCAAGAACACAAGGAAACTCAGACACAACTGAAAACCAAGAGGAATGATATCCAATAAGACCTGCAAAGACTTTGAAAATTGAAGTAATCTAACTATGTTTATGAAAATAAAAGATCAGCTTGAAGATATATGGAGGGAACAGAAAATTATAAAGTGATATAACAGGTGTTAAAAGAAAAAAAATGAACTTATAGAGGTGAAAAGAAAACAACTGAAATTAAAAACTTAGAAGATGAGAGTTAAATGCAAATTAGACCAACTAAAGAGAGAACTAATGACTTGGAAGAAATGTAAAAAAAATTATCAAAATTCACCATGGGGGCAAAAAAAGGTTAGGAATATAGAAGAGAGTGTATGAAATGGGGAGTCTAAAATGTATTTACTCAAAACCCCAGAAGGAGAGAAGAAGGATAATCAGGCAGAGGCAATATCTGAAGAGATAATGGATAGTAATTTCCTAGAACAGATATGAGAGACCAATCCACAGATTGAAGAAGCCCACTGAATCCCAAGCAGGGTGAATTAAAAAGGAAAAAACCCTAAACATATCATAATCAAACTGCAGAACACCAAAGACAAAAAGAAAATCTCAAAAGCAGCAGAGAATGGAAGGTTCCATTTACACTTAAAGGAGAAGAATTAGACCATCCGATGACCTCCCAACAGCAACAATGGAAGCCAGGAGGTGGTGGAATGTCTTCCTTGTGCTGAAAGAAAATAGTCAATCTAGAAATCTACGCCCACTTAAAATATCTTTCAAGAAAATGTGCCCCAAAAAGACATTGTCTGGCAAAAACAAAGAGAGTTTATCAACAGTAGCCCCTCACTAAAGGAAATTTTAAAGACTGTGGTTTATGTAGTTGGACAGTCTGAGATTCTAGAAAGGTGAAGAGCAAAGAAAGTGGTATGTGGTATATATGGATTAAACTAAAAGTTGGCTGATAAAACAGTAATAATTATAATAATAATGGCCCATGGGGTTTCAAAAAGCAGTCTAGAACAAAATTGCATGACAGAATAGTACAGAATGGGAAGGAGGCTAAATGCGGTTTCTGTTTTCTAAAGTCCTTGGTTTGGAAAAAGGGCAAATACATAGCTTAACTTCAGACTTTGATAAATTAAGTTTGCTTGCTCAAATTTCTAGGGTAGCCAGAAAAATAACAGGAGCAGAGAATATAACTTCCAAGCTAGTAAAGATAGAGCAAAAAATAGAATAACATTTTAAATCCCCCCCCCCAAAAGACAGGAAAGGATAAAGGAAAAGAAAAACATATAAGAGGGGACAAATGGAAAACATCAAGGAATGTCAGTAACTATATTAAGTGTAAACAGACTAAATACACCAGTTAATAAAGACTATCGGACAATTTTTTTTTAAAAGAAAAAATTCCGTGGCCGGCTCCGTGGCCAAGTGGTTAAGTTCGCGCACTCCGCTGCGGCGGCCCAGGGTTCGGATCCTGGGCGCGGACATGGCACCGCTCGTCAGGCCACGTTGAGGCGGCATCCCACATCCCACAACTAGAAGGACATGAAACTAGGATATACAATTGTGTACAGGGGGGGTCTGGGGAGATAAAGCAGAAAAAAAAAAAAAGATTGGCAACAGTTGTTAGCCCAGGTGCCAATCCTTAAAAAGAAAAAAAAAAGAAGAAGAAAAAATTCCAACCATATACTGTTTACAAGAGACATGTCTAAAATATAAGGATTCAAAAAGATTAAATGTAAATAAATAAAAGTGATATATCCTGAAAATTCTAAAGAGCAGCACTGGAAAAAAAGAGGACCACTTTACAGAGATAAAGGTTAACCCACCAGGAAGATAGAACATTACAGAATTTTTCCATATTAACATAGCCTCAAAATATATAAAGCAAAATTTCACCAAAGTAAAAGGAAAATATTTAAAATCCATAATCATAATGGGATACTTTAGCCTACCTTTCTCAATAACTAGAAGGATTATTAGACCAAAAAGAAAGCAATAATACAATAGAATATTTGAACATCACATTGAACAAATTTGACCTAATAATGGTCCTGGAGTGGAAGATTAAATATTTTAAAGATGACGTTCTTCCCAAATTGATCTATAGATCCAATGCAATTGTAATTAAAGTTAAGATTGTATATTTGTGTTTGTTGGGGGAAGGGAGGTCCTGACAAGTCGATTCTAAAATTTACGTGGAAATATAAAGAATGTAAATTGCCCAGATGTTCTCAAAGAAGACGACGGGGGGGAGGGGATCATGTCCTACCAGACATTAAGATCTTTTACAAACTGTAGTAATTAAGACAGTGTAACGTTGAGGCGGGGATAAACAAAGAAATCCATGACACAGAATAGAGGCCAGACTCAGACTCATGCATACAGAAACAGCTGACTTATGACAGCAGTGGCACTGCACAGTAATGGAGAAAGGGAAATCTTTTCAACACAGCGTGCTGGGATAACAGGGTATCTATATTTTTTTTTAATGAAATTGGAACCACTACCTCCTTGTATGTAAAAATCAGTTCCAAGTGGATTAAAGACCTAAACGTGAACTGCAAAACTACAAAGATTTCTTTGATCTAGGAGAATAGCTTTATTATCTCAGGTTAGGGAAAGATTTACTAACCAACAAAACAAAAGCAGTATCGGGGCCAGCCCTGTGGCCGAGTGGTGAGGTTCCCGCACTCCTCTTCGGCGGCCCAGGGTTTCACAGGTTCGGATCCTGGGCGCAGACATGGCACTACTCATCAGGCCATGCTGAGGCAGCATCCCACACACCTCAACTAGAAGGACCCACAACTAAAAATATACAAATATGTACCAGGGAGCTTTGGGGAGAAAAAGGAAAAAGTAAAATCTTTAAAAAAAAAAAAACAGTATCCATAAAGGATTTGATAAATTAAAATTAAAACTGTGAAAGACAAACCAAGAAAGGAGAAATATTTGCAGCACATATGACATGCAAAGGTCTTGTATCCTAAATGTATAAAGAATTTTTATAGATCAGCATAAAAAAAATTCTACCTAAGGGGCCAGCCTGGTGGCATAGTCGTCAAGTTTGCGTGATCTGCTTTGGCGACCCAGAGTTTGCGGGTTTGGATCCTGGGTGTGCACCTAGCACCGCTCATCAAGCCATGCTGTGGCAGCATCCCACATAAAACAGAGGAAGACTGTCATGGACGTTAGTTCAGCGACAATCTTCCTTAAGCAAAAAGAGGAGGATTGGCAACAGATGTTAGCTCAAGGCCAATCTTCCTCACACACACATACACACAAACAAAAGTCTACCTAATAGAAAAATGGGCCAAAAAAACTTGGACACTTCTCAAAGGAGAAAATTCAAATGGTCAATAAACACATGAAAAGGTGCTCAACCTCATTAGTAACCTGGGAAAGAAAAAGTAAAACCACAAGTAGAGATCCATGCGTACCTACCATATCGGCAAAAAAAAAAAAAAAATGTAAAGTCTGCTGGAGCTGAGCATTGGAAAGGATCAGAGCAACAGTCGCTGCTACGCCTCCAGTGGGAGACAGGCATCTCTTGGAATGCAGCAGTTCCACCTCTGGGTATAATATCGAGAGGAACTGGGTACCAGCATACGTGCATAAGAATGTTCACAGTATCATTTTTTATAATAGCCCCTAACTGGAAACCACCCAAATATCCATTCACAATAGAATGGTTAAAAGAATAGTGATAAATTCCTACAATGGACTACTATACGCAAATGAAAGTTATTGGACTACAACCACGCACTGGGACGTGTGTGAATCTTACAAACATAATGTTGACAGAAAGAAACGAAATACATAATGTACGATTCTATTAATGTAAAATGCAAAATGGGAAAAATTAAACTGTATTGTTTAGAAATTTAAAAAATGTAAAGAAATATGAAATCAGGCCAGCGGCTGTGTCTGGGCAGGAAGGAGATTGACTTTGGGATCGACGCGTAGAGGCTTCTAGAGTGTCAGCATCGCTCTTTCTCGACCCAGATGGGGATGACAACGGTGTGCACTTTACAATTACTCCTAACAAAACAGCATGTTTTAGCACTTACCTGAATGTATTTCATATTTCATAATTTTTAGAAGTGAAACAATGTATTATCTTCCAAAATAAATGGCAACATTTACATGACGATTTAAACTGTCTCACTGTTTAGCCCTAGGATTTCTTGTATCCATTTTATTACAATTCAAGATTAGGAATAAGTAGAATTAAATTGAATCTCCAGCTTACTGTACAACATTACTGGGTACCAATTCCTCTCCCTCTTGAGCATTACATATAAAGCAGTTACACTGGGAGCCGTGAGAAGGCGTCTCTCCCGCGCGTCTCTCTTCCTCCTCCTGCGCTCCACTCCTGTTCGGCTCAAATGAACTTCAGGGGCTTCCTTGTAGAAACATCAGATACTGCAGCTTCTACTCGCGTTTATTGCATTATAATTTACATACCGCAAAATTCACCTTTTTTAGATGGACAGTTCTATGAATTTTGACGGAGTTATGTAACCACCACTACAATCAGGATATAGGGTATTTCCATTCTCCTGGGGCTGGTTTTTATCTTCTTTTGTTTTTATAATAATATGTGTATAAACTAAAAATAAATAAATTTTTTAAAAAACCCTTCAAACAGACATGTAATGTCAGATTTCTTCTGGAAAGTTTTTATCAAGTTATCTGCAGGGGTTAGCGACCATCATTAACGATTCCTAAGGATTGTTCCCTGTCGCTGAAGCAAGGCCCCAGATTTAAATTAGGAGCTGGTTTGCATCACTGTCTAGCAAGCAAAGGATGTGTGTTGTCCTTAGTGTGTTGCATCCAAAATAGTTAGTGTCCTTTTATGTTCTGTGGTGTGTAGATCGTGAGGAATGAGCTTTTAGAGAAGAATTACAAACATGGGAGCAAGTTTCTGACTTCGTTTCCAGATGGGACAACGCAGATATTGTATCCTTTCTTTCAACAAGTTATTCCTGTCAGGGTTATTTCTTCACAAAAAGATAAAGGAAAAATACGTAGGAAAACATAAAGAAAAAATAGATATTACCCACAAACCCTACCACCCAGAGAAAAGCTGTTAACACCTTTCATGTATCTTTCCTTCCTTTTTTTCTATGAGCATGTATATATATATATATATAACTTTTTACAAATCAATTCTTCAACTAGTTATTAATAGTTTTTAACTTTCCCACTTTACATGATAGCGTTATACAATAAATATATATATTATATATGTGTATATATATTGTATATATCTTGTATATAACATGCAATAAGTATAGAGATATTTGCGGACGGAATTATTTTCTTAATTTCATTTTCAGAATGTTCACTGCTAGTGTATAGAAATACAATTTATTTTTATATATTGACCTTATCGCCTACGACTCTTCTGAGCTCTTTTGTTAGTTCTAGAATGTTGTTTTGTGGCCTCCTTGGGATTTTCTATGTACAAGAGCTTGTCATCTGCAAAAAGAGAGAGTTTTACTTGTTCCCTTTCCAGTCTGGATGCCTTTCATTTCTTTTTCTTTCACAAAATTTCCCTGCCTAGACCCTCCAGTGCAATGTTGCAGAGAAGTGGGGAGAGTGGACGTTTTGTTTCGTTCCTCATCTTCGAGGGGAAACCTTCAGTCTCTCCTCGTTAAGAATGATGTCAGCTGTGGGTTTTTCCCAGACACTTTATCAGGCTGAGAGTGTTCCTTCTATTGCTAGTTCTTTGAGTCATTTATCATGAAAAAGTATTGGATCTTGTCAAGTGCTTTTTCTGTGTCTGTTGAGATGATCAGGTGTTTTGCTCCTTATTCTATCAATATTATTATTTATTTTTTTTAGGAAGATTAGCCCTGAGCTAACATCCCCACCAACCCTCCTCTTTTTGCTGAGGAAGACTGGTCCTGAGCTAACATCTGTGCCCATCTTCCCTTACTTTATATGTGGGATGCAGCCACAGCATGGCTTGACAAGCAGTGCATAGGTCCACACCCAGGATCTGAACCGGCGAACCCCGGGCCACCAAAGCGGAACGTGCGACCTTAACCACTGCGCCACCAGGCTTGCCCCACAATATAATATGTTTCATGAATTGATTTTCAGATGTTAAACTGACCTTGTATTTCTGGGATAAACTCCACTTTGCCATGGAACATAATCCTTTTTATATGTTGCTAGATTCCATTTGCTAGTATTTTGTTAAGGATTTTTGCGTCTCATGAATATATTTTGATCCACACAAAAAACATAAAATGCTCTTATAATATCAGTACCTCCCATTTTCAGAATACTTTATAGTTTCAGAGGACTCTCTCATAAATTAAATTTATTCCCAGAGTAGTCAAGGACCATTAGAACAACTCAAATGACCTTATCTGACCTCAGCTATCCATCTGGAAACCTGGCCATCATTCGAGTGCCCAACAAGACAAATGGTTTCACTTGTATAGTCCAAGAAGACATGCCCACTAACCCCGCGATCCTGGCAGTGCTGGATTCTTCTGGCAGAAGTTCCTGCTATCATCCCAATGGAAATGTCTGGTAGGCCTCAATGTTTCTCCTGCTGCCATTTTGTTTTTTGGGTTTTGCGAAATTTTATTTTTCCTTTTATTTTTCTCCAACTTTATTGAGATATAATTGACATATGACATTGTGTAAGTTGAAGATGTACAATGAGTTGATTTGATACACTTGTATATTGAAAATGATCACCACCATAGCTGTCGCTAACACCTGCATCATGTCACACCATTACCATCTCCTTTTTGTGTTGAGAACAGTTAAGGTCTACTCTCTTAGCAACTTTCAAGTATATAACATAGATTATTAACCAAAATCACTATGCTGTACATTCGATCCCCAGAGCTTATTCATCTTATAACTGGAAGCTTTATTTTTCCTTTTAAGTGATAAAAATGGCTTTAAGAAGATTTATTTAAGTTAGTGGTTTTTAAATGGTAATGTTCAACTCAGAGAAATTTGTGATTTATGCTATTCCATATGCTTCTCAGTGGGAAAATCTCAGGCAACCCTACAAAACAAAGCTCATCATATTCTTTCTGTAAACAGCAAGAAAATATAAACTATACAATTTCAATGTTAGAAAAAAGATCTTTCAATAAATTGCATGGTCCCCCTGGGAGTTTGGGGTCTGAGCCTGGGGTCTCTGTAGAGCCCGTGCCCTGAGCGTGTTATTCCGCCTTGTCTGCGGAAGCGATTTGCGGCGGCCGCTGCTGCACTGCGTGGTTGTCGTTTGAGATGTACTCCTAACGAGTGAGCTTCCTGGAGCCACAACCAACAGCAATGACAGACACACAAAATCCCTAGAGAGCTCAGGATCCTAAGCCCACTTTGATCTACCCACCCCTACCCTCTGTGACTTTGTATTATTTCACTTAGCCCGCGGAAGGACGATTTGGGTTCTAACTTCAAATACAATGTAAACTTTTGGGGCTTTTCAGAAAGAGATATTCACTCCCTTTAAATTATTTACAGGTATAACAATCTCATCTGGAGAAACTCTGGCAATAACCGACAAAGTGTGGACACTCTGCCAGTACTGGAGAGAGTTAGCACACAGGGAGCTATCTGTGTTTTTTAGACCAAAGCAGTAGTCAAATCTTTAGCCCCATGGATATTGGAGAATTTCTGCTAATGCCTTAGGGTTCAATGGCAATTCTGTATTACATTTGATGGGGCACTACATTAATTGTCACCAGATGCTCATTGGCTTCTAGAACTTTCCCTTTTCCAGTGAAGCCCCGTGACCCTCCAGCTGAACTCCTGGGCCCTCTGAGACGACTCCTTGATACGCTCACAGCCCCTTCTGGCTGCCTCTTGTCTAGCGAGCCCGTCTCCCCCGCTGGACTGAAGTTCCCTGAAGGCTCACCCTGAATCTTCGCCACTACATGGCATGTCTCTGTACGTGGTATACACTCAAAGAATGCTTATTAAATAAACCATTTATCTAAGTAATTTTAGCCAAATGTTATTGTCACCCACGTGTCAAGATAAAACTAACTTTCCCTCTCCCCAGTTACGATAGGATAATCCCCTCAATTTCTCATTTGTCCTTGTGCTATTAGTTTACTGCCACTAACACTGGGAAATAGAGGTCAGTCATCTTACTTTGGGGGCCTCATGGCCCATGCATCCAGCTTTAAAGAAACACTTCACTATCAAACTAAGGCAACTGTCTATATACCTGGAACTGTTCCTATTCTCTGTCCTCAAGAAAGAGATGGAGATCCAAGCTGGAAAAGGATGAGAGAGCAGGACAAGGAGATAACTGAGTGGAATGGCAGTCATTGCTGCCCCTGGATCTCAGACCATGCACGGCTGAATGGTGTGCAATGTAGCAAAATGTGGCCTTGGCGATGCTCAGACACTGGGCACGCCGGGTGGTCTAAGCTCCACCTTCTGCTCCGTCGCAGAGCTCTTCTCCACCCGTGACCTCAGAGCTGCCCCCGAGCCTCTCCTCGCACACCCAGCCCTGACAAGAGGCCTCCTAGAAGGAGTCCTGGAGCCCGGTTGCTGGGTGCTGTTAGAAACCAGCCCTCTTATCCTGAGGCCAGGTCGGCCTCCCCCAGAATTTACACCCGCTGGTCATCGTTTTGACACGAGGCCAGTCCAAGCCCTGGTCTTCTCCCCTCTTTAGGGGATAGCCTGCTCTCCTGTGTTTCTTCTTGTCCACACTAAACCTCCCCGGCTTCCTCGGCATCCTTCTCAGCACATAATTTTCCAGACTCCTTTATTACCTGGTTCCATCCCTTGGACCCATGTTGGTTTATCAACAGGTCTTGAATTGCACCCAGTACCTCAAATTAGTAGAGGATTCAGTCACAGTGTTTTTACTCCTAAGACTTCCTGAGGTTTTCCACCATCCGCACGCTGTTGGCCAGCCTAAACAGTGAGTGGCGGGGCCAGTTTCAAGGTTGACTTGTAATGTTACTGTTGATGGTTTCCAATTTCGTTTCTGCCCAGGGTGTACATCAATATCTTGGGAGGTCAATATTCGGATCAAGCTGGCAACAGAGTGAGGGCTTGGAACTGGTCCAGTGCTGTCGCTTCCTCCCACTTCGTCTCATTTAAACCCGTCTTTCTGGCTCTGAACCACTATGTCGGCGTTCGCATCTTAGAACAAGACAAGGTTTCCATCACTTTTCTAGCGATGGGCCAACAGGCAAGAATCAGCGTCGGCACCAAAGTGAAGGTAGGTGCGTCTTGCCTTAAGCAACTTAAAGCATTTAGAATAATAAGAGTAACATAACTTCTGTTAGTGTTATTACCGGTCGATTATATTTGTGTGTAAGCTACCGTCCACAAAGAATTTTGGAGTCCAAGGAAAAAACAAACCCATAGTGCATTTCATATGTAGTTGAGGCAGCCCTATGAATTGTTTCTTCTTCCTCAGATATTCCTGTTAGTTCAGTCCTGGATCCGGGTCACATTCTCTGAGTGTTTACTCGGTGGCTGAGGAGTGCTGCTTTGGGGGTTTGGCTGCAGGATTTTATATTGCGTTTGTTTTCTCCATGCCACAGTAGAAAGCCCTGGGTTCTAAGCATGTTGAAGACCAAGCATACGTCTAACCATGTTCAAGACCAAGCATACAGGGCCAGCCCGGTGGCGCAGTGGTTAAGTTTGCGCACTCTGCTTCGGCGGTGCAGGCTTTGCAGGTTCAGATCCCAGGGACAGACATACACACAACTTATCAAGCCGTGCTGTGGTAGGCGTCCCACATATAAATAGAGGAACATGGGCACAGATGTTAGCTCAGGGCTAATCTTCCTCAAAAAAAAGACCAAGCATAAGCCCCATCTTCTTGGAGACACTTCTTGGACCTCAGAGCCCTCGGCCCAGTTTCTCCCGGCTGTCTGTGTACTCCCCCTCTCTGTGCTTGCTGAAGCCTGCGGCCTTCCTTGCCCTCATGGCTGCCTCCCTTACTGGAGGGTGAGCCCCTGCGGCCAGAGCCTCTGACTCCTCTGCCCGCCAGGACGCGGCCCAGAGTGCACTCTGCGTGACGGCGGCCCTGCACGATGGTTAAGAGCACGGGCTTCAGCTCTCAGAGAGGTAGCTCGGCCCCTCAGCCCTGCCACTCAGCTCAACGGTGAACTTGACTTCCCCCGACTATGAAATGGGGCTCAGGATGCCCACCATGGGGACTGCTGTGACGATTCAGTGAGAATGTACAGCACTTAGCATGGCGCTCAAGCCGACTGAGTACTCAGGAAAGGACGGCTCAGTGTGGACGTAGAGTCTGTCAACTAGACCTCAGTAGAGCTGAAATACAGAGAGATGTAGAGAGAGAGATAAACAGAGACCTGTGTGTCCCCATAGAGCACACAGACAGCATATCTAGTGTGTGGCTTTGAACAAGCCCCTTCCACTCTGAGGACCTTCATTTCATCATCACTATTATCATTATTTATCTTCTCCCAAAAGCCCCCCAGTACATAGTTGTATCTTTTTTAGCTGTGGGCCCTTCTAGTTGCGGCATGTGGGATGCCGCCTCAGCGTGGCCTGATGAACGGTGCCGTGTCCACGCCCAGGATCCGAACGATGGAAAACCTGGGCCACGGAAGTGGAGTGCACGAACTTAACCACTCGGCCACGGGGCCGGCTCCACATCACTTATTAAAGAAAGAGACCGCTCCAAAGTTGAAGGTGTCTTCACGCTCTAAAAAGTCTATACTTTCAGTAAGAGGAAATCTGACCTCCATATGCAGCATGGGCAGGAGTGTCTCATAAACGCCAAACAAAAGGGAGACTGCGGGTTTGGCCACGGTCGTGAGGGTCCACCATGTGCCCCGCTCTGGTTGAGCTGCTTTCCGCCAGTCTGGCCACTGCAGTCAGCTGGTTAGGCTCCAGACAAGCTTCTTTGTCAGTTAGAAATATGCAAGATAGCCTCCTTTGGATACATTACACTCACGATAAATGCATTCTTACCAAAAATGCAAAAAATGTTCTCTCCACCCTTCCCTCCTTAGAAATGAATTCTAATCAGAAAAAGAGCATTTTGATGCAAAAGAAAGAATTTGTTAAGTTTTTACTTTTCTCATTGTCCTTGTCCTCATGATCACCCTTTGAGTTTTTTAAAACTAAAAAGTGACATGTGATCACATTGTCATATTTGAAGATTCAAATCATATAGAAAAATAAAGAGTAAAACAATGAGATTCCACCTTCAATTCTGCCCCCTCTCCAAAGGAAATCACCACCCAAAATGTATTGTGTATTTCTCTTTTCTTTGTTTTCATAAATTATTCGCATACATCTTTCTTTTTCTTTTTCTTTTTCTTTTTTTTGGTGAGGAAGATTGGCCCTGAGCTAACATCTGTTGCCAGTCTTCCTCTTTTTGCTTGAGAAAGATTGTCACTGAGCTAACATCCATGCCAGGCCTCCTCTATTTTGTATGTGGGATGCCACCACAGTGGAGTGCACGAACTTAACCACTATGCAACCTGGCCAGCCCCCACATACATCTTTTTCAATAAAAATTGGATTATACTGTATTAATTGTACTGTTAGTAGGGTTCTATTTGTTTTTGTTTTCTACTTAACAAGTACTAAAGGTTTTTCCATTTATACATTTCCAAGCATATTTGTCCACTTTTTTTTTTTTGCTTAGGAAGATTAGCCCTGAGCTAACATCTGTGCCAGTCTTCCTCCGCCTTACATGTGGGTCACCGCCACATCATGGCTGATGAGTGCTGTAGGTCTGCCCCCAGGATCCAAACCTGCAAACCTGGGCCACCAAAGCGGAGTGCACTGAACTTAACCACTATGCCATGGGGCCAGCCCCTGTCTACTTTATTTTTAATTGCTACCCAGTATTTCCAATGTCCCATAGCTAATTCATGCTGAATCCAGTGGCCTCTCGGCAGTCCTGGACCAGCTGCTCACTGCCTCCTCCTGGCAGCATTGCTTCCTTGCTCCCAGGACACTGCTCTCCCCCAATTTTCCTTGTACCTCGGGGCTGTTCCTTCTCGTTTTTCTCTGCAGGTTCCCTTCACTTCCCCTCTCCTCCCCGTGGAGGGGCCCAGGCTTCCTTGGGCTCCTCTCGTCTGTCTACACTCACTTCCAGGTGACCTCCCCGAGCCTCTGGTTCTTAAGCACTGTCCACATGCTGGTCACCTTTGTCTGCTCTCCCGGTGGGTCCTCCATGTACTCGACTTGTAAACCTCGGGTCCAACCCCACATCTCCATCTGGGTGTCTAAGAGGGCTTTAAAAACTTAACAGAGCAAAATCAGATCTGCGAGCTGGCACCACCCTCAGTCTTCTCCATCCCAGAGAACAGCAGCTGCCTCCTTTCAGGTGCTCAGGCCCACAACTTTGGAGTGGTCATCCTCCCGTCTATCACGACCCCACATCTATTATCTGCAGTGCTGCCAACTCTGCCTCCAGTGTATCACCAGACTCTGACACTCCTCACATCCTCCAAGCCTGTCAGCCTTGTCTGCCTCCTGTGCCTGCTCCCTCGCTCGTTTACACGAGCCTCCTAATGACTCTCCCTGCTTCTGCTCTTCCCTACGTCTATTCCAACACAATAGTTGGAGTGATACTTGACAACATAAGTCTGGTCAAAACCGCCCAGTGGCTTCCAGTCTTACTCAGCAGCGTAGAAGCCACGGTCCCATCCTGTGAAAACGGCAGCTCCATCCCCCCTCAGCCCTGGCCCTCGAGGGCCTTTGGCCTATGCCACAGGTTTTAATATGTAGCGTTCTGGTTTCCTCTCACCTCTAAACAGGTTATGATTTCTATTCTGATTTCTTCTACTCAGTAGTTACTGAATTTTCAAATAGGTAAAAAATGTACTATCCTTTTCTTGTTAATTTCTAAATGGTCATGGAGTACAGCTTGCATTTTTTCCTTGCTGCTTAAAATGTATTGATAGTTTCTTTGTGGTTGATTATATAATTTTTATGACTGTTCCATGTATATTTGACCCCCCCAAAAGTATATTATTGTCTATGGTTAATTGTTCCGTTCACACTTCTCTCTATATCCTTTTTATAGTGGTGGTTTATTCCTGAGAAATGTGTGAATGTTGCCCAATAAGATTGTGGATTTGTCTGTTTTTCCTACTGTTTCTATCGGTTTTGCTTTCTGTGTCTCGAAGCTCTGTGGTTAGGAAGCTAAAGAGGTCGGCAGTCTCTCCGTGAGCGGTTCCTTCCACGCCCGTGCCTGCTCCATCTCCTGCCTCCCTGACTGGCTCTTCAGCTGTGCCCATGATGTGACTCAGTGTATCACTGAGGGTTTTGGGTTTTGACAAAAAAATTAACATTATCAATTATGCATTATTCCAAATTTCTTTATTAATGGTCTTTGCTATTCCATCTGCTGTTAAATTGCTGCACCTGCTTTCTTGTAAAAGTTAGCATTTGCTAGGTACATTTTTTTATCCTTTCATTTTCAACCTTTTTACGTAATTTTGAGTTAGATGTGTCTCTTGCAAACAGCCTACCACTGGGTTCTGTTGCTTTCCTCAACCTCACAGACTCAATCTTTTAATACGTTATATTTTAATGGTTACTGTCAAACTGGTAACATATCTTTTTCTCTATATGCATAGAATTAACTTCCAAGTCTTCTAGTTATTTCTTTCCCTCGACAACAATAATTCTTTCAAATCCCTCAGAGAATGTTAACTATATTTTCTCAAGTCTTCCTCTGGCTGCCCATTCTGTTTCTGTGAGTGTTAGTGTCTCTGAGAGAGAACTCCAGGGCCTTTCTTCCAGGGCCTCAAATTCCCCCGGATATTTGGCGATTCTTGGTTGTGTGTTCACTTTTGTACTGAGAATCCCCGTTTTCCCGTGTGTTCTGCTCACTGACGTTGGTCTCGGATAACTGTGGAGAAGTGGCTGTGCTGGTGAGGGGAGGTGGCCAGCCCAGGGCCAGGCTTCCAGCCAGCCTGTGGGCAGCGGGCTCACAGAGGGCGGCGAGGGGCCTTCCCACCGGGTCCTGCTAATACTCACCTCGGGGGCCCTGCTGCTTCTCATTGCCCTTGACTGTGAGCTCAGAATGGGTGTGTTCGGGGTTTAGTGGTTTCATTTGGTCATTTCTCTACACGGATATAGCAGTCCCATCTGCTTTCTGATTTTTAGGAGTTCCTTAAGATTGTTCCTGCGGATAAAAATCTTTCCTATTTCCTAGAACCATTATTGATTTACTCTCCAAACAAGTTTTCTGTCATTTTATGGGATTTGGGATTGCAGGGAGGTTAAAAATGAGATCCATTCTTCGTTATCCATCCATCTCATATTCCTCCCCCCTTCCTCCCTCCCGATGGGAGGAGGGATGAAAGTGCAGAAGGATGCCGTGAGTTGCAGCTAGGTGGTCCCTCTGCTTGCGCAAGTAGTTCAGCTTGCCTTCCACCGGCCAGCACGCGCCACGCCTCCCCGACGGGCCTTTCCCAGGGCAGGGGCGGCGTTTGCAGCATCTTTGCGTGCCCTCAGGATGTGCGGGTTCAATTACTTAAGGAAACTATACGCGTTTGAAAGTAGCCAAATTCTGTTCGGGCTGGGCTGCTCTGGTCTCTCGGGTCTCCGCAGCATTTCGGCTCGTTCCCCGTTCAGGTTAGAGTAACACCACTGCCCGTTTGTAGATAGATAGACTCGAGAGGGAACCTGCCCCGAATCCGGCCGCCACTCGCAGCTCCCGCCTCCCCGGGGCCGCGGGCACCGTTTCCTCTCCCGGACCCTGAGCTTCCCCTCTCTCTGTCTTTGCTGGAAAGCTCCAGAACCCGGAGGAGATCCCGGTGCTCCGGTACCTGAACCAGGACGACCTGCTCCTGCTGGCCAGTCTCATCAAGATCCGGCGCCTGTTCCACAAGCTGGAGGGCTGCGCGCTCTTCCCCTCCAGCCAGGCGTGGGACAGGCTGCAGCAGCCTGCCTACCTCTCTTGCCTTGCTGTGAGACTCCTCGCCCTCTGCCACAACTCCGGCATGAGGCAGGACACCATAACCACCATAGCAGCTATAATAAACGAGAAGATTTAGCCAAGCACCGCGGCGCTTCCGTTTTTTCTTTTTTTGAGAGGGGATGTGGGAGACTTCAAGAAAAGCGGATGAAACGACTAGGAAACATCAAGAAATATGCTGCTATAAACATAAAGCACGTCCTGAGTTTGGTGGGAGAACTAAACCGCGCGCCCCCGGGACCCCGCGAGCGAGCACAGCGGCCGAGCGCCCAGGGCCCGCGACCCTCGGGACGGAGGCGGCCGGGGAGCCAGCGCGGGGGTGGCGGCCCGGGGGACCGCCGGCTGCCCGAATCCGGGGTGAAGGGAGAGAGGGGCCGTGGAGACGGGGGCTGCGGCCTCACAGCAGGGCGGGCGCGACGAGCGGCGCCGTCACCCACCCGTCCAGCCCCGCTGCCGTCCTGGAGGCGGCGGCCGGCGCCTCGCCGCGGAGGCACAGGGGGAGCCGCAGAGCCCTGTGGCCCACCGGGCCTGTCCCCTTCCGAGGGAGGGGGTGTCGCTGAGTCTGCAGACGGCCCAGGCCAGCATCTTCTGCTCGGGGATAAAGGCAGAGCAGAGGGTGGAGGCGAGACCTCAGAAGGCGCTTGCAGCGCCCGCCCGCTGCCGCTCTTGGTCCCCCGACGAGAGGAGGGCCTGCAGACTGAGGGGCCGTTCCCGACGGCGAATTCCAACTCCGGCGCTAATGCGCAACAAGAGGGAATAAGCCGCCCCACCGTGCCCCATCCGCCTGGAGCGCTCACACCGCTTCCTCCCGCGGGGCCGCGAGGAGGGGCCGGGCGGGCGGGGAGGGGGCCGCGGGGGCGCGGGGCGGCTCCTGGGCGGGGGGCCTGGGTCCTGCTCTTCACCCACTCTCCAGCCTGCTCGGTTTGGTTTTGGTGCCTTTAATTAGCTTGCTTTTTAGGAACCGTGTTAACGCTGAGGATTCAGTTTGGTTCCTTTTTCATTCCCACTCTTACTAATCTCCACTGCAATCTTTGTGAAAGAGAAGCTCCTGGGCTCATGTCTTGATCAACGCTAAATGTCTTTTTATTTTTGCCTTTGCCTCTTCCGCTTCACCAAGTGAACTAAGACATGGTGTATTCACGTAGTGGAATTCCATACAGGCGTGAAGATGAACTGGAATACCTGAGTCAACACGAACCACCCTTACAAACATTTTCACCTCGAATGAAAAAGTCAAGAGGGCAGAAGACAACGTTCAGTATCATTCTATCTATATCGAGTTTCAAAACAGGCAGGGCCATCCGCGTGTCACTTAGGCGGCCGTGGCCTCCGGGGCTGGGCCCCGCGCCAGGCATGGGGAGACGGCCAGGGGCTCCGACTGTTTCTCAAGCGAGGTGCTAAGTTCACGGGACTTCATTAATTGCTCTTCATCTATTTTAAATATCCAAACTTGTTCTTTTCTCCTTTTTTTAAAAGACGAGCCAGAAGCAGGCGAGCAAATATAGGAAAGACCCTTCACTTGGGGAGAAGCAAGGATTGAGTCCGCGCAGGCTTCCACTGAGTCCTCGGAAGTGAGCCGCCGAGGCTGCAAGTTAGAGCTTCCTTTTCTCCTAAGAGAACGAGCGCCGTTCGTTTCATGCAGACTGGATTCCTGTACTTTAGCCCGCCCCCCCTTACAGCAGTCCCCAGGGTCAGAGTCCAGGGTCAGCTTTCCGTGAACAATGTAGACGCTCTCTACCTGAGTTCGGGCAATTCGGGATTATCTGGAATGCACGCAGGTGGTTTTTCTCTAACACGACGCGCTGCATTTTCCTGTGTCCACACTCCCTGACTTCCTTCCCCAGGGCCGAAACCAGGCGGGGACACGCCCCGCTGCCACACGCTGCCAAGCTGGACCGCGCACTCCCTGCAGCCTGCAGCGCAGACGGAAAACCCACCCAGTTCCAGCGCCACACAATCACCCGGTTACAGCGCAAGTCTCACGCAATCCTGCTAATGTGCAACAACACTCGGATTAAAGGATGGCTAGCTGGCTTCTCTGCTCTCACAGCTCACCGGGGAGAGGGACCGAGAAGTGAGCCGGGGCTTCGGAGCCCCCCCCCCCCCCCCCCCCCCGTTCTCCCCGCCACTCCTCACCCTGCGCTCTGCGGTGCTGAAGCGGAAATCATCAGACAACCCAGGGCCAGGTCCCAGCTCTCTGCCAACCAGCTGTGTGCCCTTGGGCTAGTTACTTAACCTCCCCCAGCCCCTGTTCTCTCAGCTGTAAACTGAGACAGACAGAATCCACTTCCCAGGGTTCCGGTGACTGCGGGAAACGGGTGCCCGCACCGCGGTGACCGCTGCAGAGACCCGGCAAAGACCAAGCAGAGATCCCAGCCTCTCAGCCACACAAACCAGGGAACAGACTCACCCTCCTGAGGATTAACAGAACTAGAAAGAGATTAGAGAGTCAGGTTAGATAGATTAAAGAATAGGAACTGAAAGCTGATGTCAGAATGGAATGCTTTAATTATTACTATAAAATAAGCTATATTAATAAGTATTAACAATAAAGTAACTGTACCACACAAACATGTTTGTTTCTCCTTCACTGACAGATTACAGATAGAAAGTGCTGTACAAAACACATCCGCAATTTCCATAAGCACATATTTAAGTTCTGTAGTGCTATTTATCAATCCTAAAACAAATGAAGTTGTAAAGTATGAATCAATTTCCGCTTTATTAAACTACAGAGACAAGGTTTAAAATAAATTACATTCTAGTGAGCGGCCCTTGGCCTTCCAGACGTGAACAAAGCAGTCGTTCTAGACCACTCATCTTTGAACTTCTCCTGTCTCAAGCCCGTAAAGGAAATGAACGCATGCTCTCCCGCGCACACTTTTCCATCGACACCTATAATGACTCGTCGTAAGTTTAAGCAGATGCAAAGAAAGTGATTTCCAATGTACTGTAAATCTTGACATTTTGAAATAAACCACTACTTTCTGAAATGAATCCGATGGAATCTAAATGCCCGTCGTTATCCATTTCAATACTACGGAAACCAGCTCTTCAACAACATTCCTTTTTTTCTTTTTGAACTTACACTTTCATCCTACTTCCTCCAAAGAAGTTTATTGGACAGTGGCCTCTTTTTATGCTGAAAGATCTATTCCTGATGACCTGCTCATTCTTCTCGACTACAAAAGTATATATTTATTTCAAAACTTTGAACTTTACTGCCTATGACCTTAAGGCTCTAAGTATTCAAAAGACTTCTTTCGATTGTGTTAGCATTACAATTACTAGCAGCACAGACTTGATAAAAACATGACAAATTTTGATAAATTGAAAGTAAAATTTTAGTGGAAATTTATGACTCACGCTTTTAAAATCTAGTTGAAAGCAGAGAATCGCAAACCACTCAACAGTGATCCTCAAACCGGCAGCCGGCGATTCACCGGCAGGCCCCCACCGTCAGGACCCAGGACCTGGGCTGCCAGAGGAAGAGCTTTCCTCCCAACGACGGTATCTGTTTCATGACCAAGAACTACCTCCATTTTGCACCTCACGTAGGTGGGGAAATTGGACAAAGCATATGGGGTGTCACCTCTATCCTGGATAGTCAGCTAACGCTGATCCCCTGGAGAAGCCTTCACCCCTGGGGGTCCTCACACCCCCAGTTTGAAGATCACTGTTCTCTCCACTTTGGTATATATTTAAATTTCCATATAGTAAGTAAACATACATAGATACCTACATATATATTTTATATTTTTATATATACATACATATATTAATACACACACACTGTCTCTCTCACACACACACACTCGGCCTGGTTCCACCACCAGATTCTAAACATAAATTGGTCTGGGATAGAGACGGGTTTCAGTTTTTTCAAGTTCCCCGGCTGATTCTAAAGTGCAGCCAAGGTTGATAACGACTGGATTAGGGCTAAAATGAGAGAAAAAAATATTCCCCTCAAGCAGCATAATCAGCACAGACTCCTGCTACACTGGGACCAGCACCGTGGGCAGCGTCTGCAGGGCACGCTCTTTTTCTGTTACCCTTTGTGCTGGAAGGAGAAACCCTCACCTCTGCCACGAAGAGTCCGGGAGCGGGAGCAGGGTGGGAACTTGGGGCGAGGAAGCACCCTGCCTCACGCAGAGAGCAAACTGACAGCTGGAGACTCGAAGGAGACATGCTTTTTTTGCTTTTTTTGTTTCATCAACTTTTTAAGAGAACCCACGCAACCACCATAAGTGTGGCATTGTTTCACTGTCTACTGCACTGCAGGGCCTTCTCTTCCTCTGTACACAACGTGTCCTGTTTTCCTCTGGCTGCTTTAAAGAGTTTTCTTTTCATTAATGGTGTTCAGCAGACAGAAAAACAATAGAAAAATATCAACAAAACCAAAAGTTGGTTCTTTGAAAAGATCAACAAAATGCACAAGGTTTTAGCTAGACTCACCAAGGAAAAAAAGAGAGGACTCAAATTACTTAATACAGGAATAAAAGAGGACACTTACCAACCTTACAGAGATTAAAAGAAAAAAGGATTACAAGGGAATACTATGAACAACTGTAGCTAACGAATTAGATGATTTAAATAAAAGGAACAAATTCCCAGGAACACACAAAATGCTGAAACTGACATAAAAAGAAATGGAAAATGTGACTTGGTCTATAATAAGTAAAGAGATCACATTAGTAACTTAAAAATTTCCACAGAGAAAAGCCCAGGCCCAGATGGCTTCACTGATGAATTTCACCAAACATTCAGAGAAGAATATCAATTCTTCACAAATTGTCCCAAAAAACAGAAGAGTATACACTTTCCAACCCAATCTACGAGGCCAGTATTACCCTGACACCAAATCAGACAAAGATAACACAAGAAAAGAAACCAAATATCTCTATTGCTTATAAATATAGAGGTAAAAATTCTCAACAAATGCTAGGAAACCAAATCTAGCAACATATAAAAAAGATTATACACCATGGCCAAGTGAAATTTATCCCAGGAATACAAGGTTGGTTTAACATCTGAAAATCAATTAATGTAATAGACAACAGGATAGGGTAAAGGGCGGGGAAATA